ACTGGCTTCCGGTCAAATTCCGTGTGGACTTTAAAATCCTCCTGCTCACCTACAAGGCTCTGCATGGCTGGGCGGCTCAGTACCTGTCAGAGCTATCATCGCCCTACTCCCCACCTCGCAACCTCCGCTCTTCAAATTCTGCTCTCCTTACTGTCCCCCCAAGCCCGTCTACACTCTAGGGGTGACAGGGCCTTCTCTGGTTATTCCCCCAAGCTCTGGAACTCTCTGCCCAAGGATATCAGAGAGTCACCTTCTCTAAACTCCTGCCAATCCAGACTCCAAACCTTCTTCTTTAGAAAAGCCTTTACTTAGTACGACCATCCACGGTCTCCTCTGTATATTGAAATTGTGTTTTATCTGGTGTATTCTTCTTATTTATTGTTGTTGTCATTCTGTAAAGTGCTTTGAGGAGCCACCTTTAAAGGCGCTATATAAAATAAAGTTTATTATTATTATTATTATTTTAACTATTGCGTTTCATAAGTAACCTAGTCCCAAGCTTCATCAAGTTGCCCTATCCTGCTGGGAGTGAATGAGAAAAAACGGGCAGAAATCAACAACCTGGGGTGTCGTGTCAAGACGGGACAAAATGTCCTCAGTATTGCCGGGGACAAGGGAATGGACGATCCGATCCATTTGTTGACCTCTTCAGGCAGTACAGGGTCGTGGGGGGGGGGGGCCAAAGCCTATCCCAGCAAGCAATGGGCACGAAGCGGCCCGGATGGGCTGCTAGTTCGTCACAGGGCACTGAAAGGAAGTGAAGAAAAGTTCACCAATGAAAACAGGAAATCTGTGTCATTTTTTCCATGAAATCGTTGTACAGCGCCTTCGCTTTCAAGGCAACAGGCAGTGATTCTCATCGCAGTTCATTTACAAACACTGTAACATTACATTGACATTACGTTCCACGTACACATCCGCGACTGTATTTAAAACGTTGTTTAAAATAATATCACGATGTAGCGTTCCGAGGGCAGCACAGTGGATGGTCATTGATGCCTTGCAGAGCTGAGGCCATGGGTTCAGGCGTTCAGTTCCTCAGACCTGGGGTATTATGTGTGTGTTCGTGTGGGATTTTTTCCAGGTGCTCTGGTTTCCTGCCACGGTCCAAAGACATAGTGGCAGGTGAACTGGCTTCTGGGAAAATTAGGATCAGATCACTTTATTAGCCATTTCTTGCATGAGGAATTTGTCTCTTCGCAGACCCCAGCATGCTCTCCACAAGTCACAGGCAGGGAGAGAGAAGCTTGGGGTCAGAGCGCAGGGTCAGGCCTTTATACAGCACCCCTGCCACAGCGGGGGTTCAGGGCCTCGCTCGGGGGCCCAACGGAGTAGGATTCCTCTGCTAGCCGCAGGACTTGAACCAGCAACCTTCCAGCCACAGGCGCAGATCAAGAGCCACAGTTCCACCGCTCCGCCACTCCAAATTGGCCCCGGTGTGGGTGTGTGTGTGTGTCCGTGTGTGTGCCCTGTGATGGACTGGCGGCCCATCCAGGGTGTGCCCTGCCATGCGCCCCCTGCTCGCTGGGAAAGGCCCCAGCTCCTCCGCAAACGCTGAATTGGGTGAGGCGGTTAGGAAACGGATGGAAGTAGTGTCTCACGCCCCTGGAATTGGACTGCAACTACTGTATGACCTATGACCCTTTCACTTTATGGCTTACTCTTTCCTGTGACGATTATAGTCCCTCCTCCTTAAGGGTGCTCCAGCCCTTTCACTTCAGACTTCATTCTGTGCACCTGACCCCTTTTCCCAGCCCACCTTAAAAGCCAGGCGCTGACGTTCAGCCTGGCTCTGCATCTGGTTTCCGCACCGTGCGAGCCTGGGGCCTAGAAGCGCCTGGTCCCGTTAAGGTTTTAACCTCTGTTCCTGTTCCTTGTCCGGCGGTTCCGACCCGGTTCGTGTTTTTAATTCCTTGTTTGGATGGGTCACCTGGCTATGGACTTTCTTGTGTTTTTGGATTCCCTCTATGGATTACTTTTGGATTGTTTGCCTCGGCCACACCTCCCCTGTGCACCAGCGCACTTTGGACACGCCCCCCCCTGTTTTCAGCCCCGTATCCCTGCATGACTTTTTCCTAGTGTTTCCCCACTTCTTCGGATTGTGTCGTCCGCATAGGGTCCGGAAAGAACTGTTGGTTACACTTCCTGCCTTTTCCCTCTATAAAAACAAGGAGAAATCCCTCTTCTGTCGCTTTACCCTCCTCAGCGCCTGGCAGACGTACTCTCTCTCTCTCTCTCCCCCTTCACAGATATTTCCCTAACCCCCATGATTTGCACACCCCCACTGCAATGGACAGGTCGATAAAACTTTCCCCAAGCCTTTCCCCAAAACTTTCCCTCACGCCGCCGACACAGAATCGGGAGCGTTCGTTACAATACGTAGGCACCATTTCTAAGGCTGAATTCCTCATTTAATGACAGGACCAGTAAAGCCAGTTAAAAAAATGAGACAGAACGGAATTTTTTAAATTCCACGTTGGTAACTTATTGATTTATTAAAACCTCCCCCTCTTTTGATAAGCGGAACTGTACAAATCCCCCAGTAAGGTTAAGGAGGTTTTAATACAAAATAATTCATCGAATTTACCCAGTTAAGACTCTTGTTACCCAGCGATTTAAAATTAATATAGATGACAAATGTGTTTTTTGTGACAATAGCCCTGAAACTATTCAGCATTTGTTTTGGTTATGTCCCAGGGTAAAAAATTTCTGGACAAAGTTGCAGACTTATATTAAGAAAAGAGACCAATATTGATATTTGTTTTGATGAAAAAGATGTTATGTTAGGTTTCAGCCCCATCGATAATAATATTAAAATTTCGGTTGTAATACATTTTATTATTACAATGGCCCGTTATTACATACACAAAATGAAGCGGTCTGGGAAGAACCCTTTGTTTGAGCATTTTAAAATGGATGTAAGGGGGTATTTGCAGACTATTTCGAAGTGTAAAAATATGAAAGCGGTAATAATAATACAGTTATTTTTATTGAATGTGTTTAATCTTTTTTCATAACTTGAATCTATGTAGTAATATGTACCGCTGACGATTTTTTTGTCTTGAATTGTTATAGATACTCTTGTTTGTATGGTAATTCTTGTTCTTTTGTGAAGCATAAATAAAAAAAAATATTTAAAAAAACTGTACACATCCAGTGAAGGTATTAATTTTGACAGTTGCGGCCCTTGGGCGCTGCATAGCAACAGTCACTAGGGAAGCGCAGCGGCGTGACCCGGAACTCGTCTCGGCTCGGGGAGGCTTTCACTTCCTGTTGGTGCTCTGCCGACATGTGACGCTTCCCTGTCCCTCCCGGCTTGTGCGTTTAAATCCCAGGCGCTCGCTTATTGTCGCAGCTGTAGCAAATCCACCCTCCCTTTCCGGCGCCCCCCCCCCCCCCCCGGGAAGAAAAAGATGGCGAGCTGGCTGGCGGTCCTGGAGTCCGAGCTACAGGCGTTCATGGAGGTGCTGCTGGGGGCCGTGGTGGACGAGGTGTCGGCCATCTGCCGGAACGGGCTGGGCGAGGCGGAGGACGCCTCCCAGTGCCGCCGCCGGCTGCGCCGGGTGTCGCAGACGCTGGTGCGGCGGGCCGTGTTCAAGATCACGAAGTTCGTCGAGGGCAGCTGCGGGGGCGAGATCGAGCAGCTGAGGCGGGAGGTCGAGACGCTGAGGGGGCGGCTGCGGGTCTGGGAGAAGGGGTCGGGAGGTGGGGAGCGGGGGCAGACGCCCCCCTGCGAGGCGATCGGAGGAATCAAAGAAGAGATGGAGACGGATCCGGAGCTGTCGGGTCAGTGTGGGTAACCTCGTATGAGATAAAGGCCTCTCTGTTTTAAAAAAAAACGTTTTTAGCTGCATCCTAATTCATAATCTTGCATAAGATGCACAGAGCGGGCCTGCACTGGGAAAGATTGTAAGGAATGAACAGTCCCGTAGATAATTCAGTTTCCCCTTGGAGGAGGAGGAGGAGGAGGAAGAGAGTTTTAAGATTTTTATATGCACCGGGTTGAATATCGCTCCTCTGCTCACGCGTTTGAAAATACGCGGAGGCGCCGATGTAAAACACACAATCGTGGTCGTTCTAATCAGGAGGTGGCCTGAAATGTGTGTGTGTGTGTTGTTTTTTTTTCTTGCGTGAATTGGACACGACCCACGGAGGGGAGGGGGTGGGAGAGGAAACATTCCTTTCTGAAACCGAACTGGGGTGTTATCCGGTCAGAAAACTCCAAAACGGTCCCGCAGACAACTCGGGGCGACTCGGTAATTGTATCATTGACTCAACGGTGTATTAAAAAAGTCTTGTTTTTATTAAGTTTTATTAAGTTCCTGCTGTATTAAAAAAGTCTTGTTTTTGTGCATGCAGTGATCCCCGAAGTTTTTCTTCCTCCGAAATTCGACCGGCTGCGTTTTCCAGTAGAGCGGAGATTTAAATGCTTCTAAGTTTCGGAGAGAAACTTTAGACTGCCGAGTAAGCGGTCTTTGTGTATATATATTCCCGTCTCGCCGCAGTGAAGGGATTAGAAACAACCGAATAGATTAAGTGTAGATTCATTAAAAGTTCTCATTTTAAGCATACACTTTTTCCGGAGTTTGAGGTGCAGGATGAAGTGAATATCGGGGTGTCTCTATTATAAGAATAGCTTACACTTTTGTATAGCGCTTTTCTGGACACTCCACCCAAAGCGCTATATGGGTCATGGGGGAATCCCACTACCACCACCAGTGTGCAGCCCCCACCTGGATGATGCTCCAGTCCGCTCGGCACACAGCAGCTCTCGGTGGGGAGGAGAGCAGAGGGATGGAGCCAGTTCAGAGAGGGGGGGTTATTAGGAGGCCATGATGAGTAAGGGGCCAATGGGAAATTTGGCCAGGACGCCGGGGTTACACCCCTACTCTTTTCGAGAGACACCCTGGGATTTTTAATGACCCCAGAGAGCCAGGACCTCGGTTTTACGTCTCATCTGAAGGACGGCGCCTGTTTACAGTAAAGTGTCCCCGTCACTATACTGGGGCATTAGGACCCACATGGACCGCAGGGAGAGCGCCCCCTGCTGGCCCCACTCACACCTCTCCCAGCAGCAGCCTTAGTTTTTCCCAGGAGGTCTCCCCTCCAGGTACTGACCAGGCTCACACCTGCTGAGCTCCAGTGGGGGGGGCTGCCAGCTGGGAGCTGCAGAGGGATATGGCTGCTGGCTGTTTTATAGCACCCAGCCAGACCAATACAGAGCAGTAGAGGCACCCCGATATTCACCATGTCCTCACCTCAAATGCCAGGGTCTTTGTAGAACCCAGACAGACCAGTACAGAGCACTAGAGTCTGTTCTGGGTTGGTCAGGTCAGACTCTAGTGTTCTGTACTGGTCCGTCTGGGTTCCATTAAGCCCCTGGGGTTATGTGCTTTAAAATCCCTGAAGGTTTAGGTTTAGGGATGTGGCTGGGGTTTTTTTTCCTCCCAAGAGTATTTTCTGCTTCACCGCAAACACTGGAGTTTCCAGTGTTTTCCTGTCTGGTGGGGGGGGGGGGTATTAATTTGTCATTCGGACAGTTCCCAAAACGCACCTAGACAGAAACTCGGGTTGATCTCCGCTTTCCTGTTAGGCTTGAGCAGGCGAAGTTTGCCAATTCTAATTTTCCGCTAATTATTGGAGCGATTTTCCTGTATCTAAATCTCCTCTGAACAAACTGCAGTATGTCCAGAATTCAGCAGCTAGAATCCTGACCAGGTCTAGCGCAAGTGTTTACATTACTCCTATCCTGGAGTCCCTGCACTGGCTTCCGGTCAAATTCCGAGTGGACTTTTAAAATCCTCCTGCTCACCTATAAGGCTCTGCGTGGCTGGGCGCCTCAGTACCTGTGTGAGCTATCATCGCCCTACTCCCCACCTCGCAACCTCCGCTCTTCAAATTCTGCCCTCCTTACCGTCCCCCCAAGCCCGTCTACACTCTAGGGGTGACAGGGCCTTCTCCTGTTGTGCCCCCCCAAGCTCTGGAACTCTCTGCCCAAGGACATCAGAGAGGCACCTTCTCTAAACTCTCTAAACTTCAAATCCAGACTCCAAAACCCTCTTCTTCAGAAAAGCCTTTCCTGAACTGGTTCCATTATAGTTCCACCATCCACGGCCTCCTCTGTGTATTCTTTATGTTGTTGTTGTCATCCTGTAAAGGGCTGTGAGAAGCCACCTTTAAAGGCGCTATATAAAATTAAGTTTATTATTATTATTAGATGTTGTTCTACTGCTTCTGTTTACAGCGAGGGCTGTTTTTCCTCCTGATTCGAAGGCCGTGTGACCCTGTTATTCAAGGTCTTGATCTCTCCTGTCCTGTGTTTTTCAGGGTCAGAGGTCGGGGCTCTCCCTGACGCTGGGGAAGGGGCTCCACTTGAACAGCAGCAGCGCGGCGAGGAGGAGGAGGAGGAGGAGTGGGGCTCCCATCTGATGCAGGAGACGTGGCTCCCGTCTGCAGAGGGGAAAGAGACACTCGGGGAGCGGCAGGCCGAGAGCAGGCCGAGGCTGGGGGGTCTGGGCTCCGCGCCAGAGGTGAAGTCGGAGCCCGACGACTGCTGCGCACACGAGGTGGATCATCGGGACGTTAAGGCCGTTCTAGAACACAGGGATGAGTCCGTCGCTGTCCGAGGGCACAAAGAAGAGGAACTGGATGACCTGGATATCGTGAGGCTTACAGAGCAGGACACGAAGCCCCAGCCCACAGGGGAATTCTGGGAAGCCGGGCGACCCCAGCCGGAGCAGAGGGGCGGGCGGAGTCCGGCCGGGCCGGGCCCAGAGGGCACAGGGGACCGGTCGCTGGGGGAGGGCCAGGGACGGGAGCCGGACCGCCTCGGAAGCCCCCCCCAGCCCCCGGCCGCCGCCGCCGCCGCCGTCACCCCGGGCGGGAAGCCCTTCGCCTGCGGCCAGTGCGGCAAGAGCTTCGCCCAGGCCTGCAACCTGCGCAGCCACCAGCTGGTGCACACCGGCCAGAAGCCCTTCGCCTGCGGCCAGTGCGGCAAGAGCTTCGCCCAGGCCTGCAACCTGCGCAGCCACCAGCTGGTGCACACGGGGGAGAAGCCCTTCGCCTGCGGCCAGTGCGGCAAGAGCTTCAGCCAGGCCTGCAACCTGAAGCGCCACCAGCACGCCCACAGCCGCCAGAAGCCCTTCGGCTGCGGCCAGTGCGGCCGGGGCTTCACCCAGCCCGGCGCCCTGCGGCGCCACCTGTGCACGCACACGGGGGAGAAGCCCTACCGCTGCGCCAGCTGCGGCCGGGGCTTCAGCCGGGCCTGCTACCTGCAGAACCACCAGCACGTGCACACGGGCGAGCGGCCCCACGCCTGCGGCCAGTGCGGCAAGCGCTTCAGCCACGCCAGCAACCTGAAGAAGCACCTGCACACGCACACGGGGGAGCGGCCCTTCGCCTGCGGCCAGTGCGGCAAGGGCTTCCGCCACCTGTACCGCCTCAAGCGCCACCAGCCCATCCACGCCGGGGAGAAGCGCTTCGTCTGCGGCCAGTGCGGCCGGGGCTTCCGCACCCCGGGCGGCCTGCAGAGCCACCAGCTCAGCCACGCGGCCCAGAAGCCCTTCGGCTGCCCGCAGTGCGGCAAGGGCTTCAGCCTGGCCAGCAGCCTGAAGGTGCACGCCCTCATCCACACGGGCGAGAAGCGCTTCCGCTGCGCCCAGTGCGGCAAGGGCTTCACCCAGTCGGGGGGGCTGAAGACCCACCAGGTGGTCCACACCGGGGAGCGGCCCTTCAGCTGCGCCCAGTGCGGGAAGAGCTTCAACCAGTCCAGCAACCTGCGGAAGCACCAGCGCCTGCACGCGGGGCAGGCCCCCCAGAAGCCGGAGGAGAGGGCCGAGCCGGGGGAGGGCGGGGCGAGGGGGGTGAAACTCGACCCAGAATAGCCCCCCCCCCCATCGGCGTCGTAGTGTTTTGTTCTTCTAGACTCCATCAATCTCATCCCCTCCGTTCTCAAGCGGTGGCAGCGGGGTCGGAGGAGAGCAGAGATGTTTTGCTTTTAAAAAGCATTTTGTTTTTAACGATGCCTCGTCAACCCGGGGGTCGGTTCATTTTTTGTTGTTGTTGTTGTTGGCGTTTCTACCCAGAATGCCGATCCCCGACTGCCCCTGCTTTTCTTCTAAAAAAAACACGACTTGAACCTGAAGGACGATTGAGGACGAATTTTGGAGCGTTCCGTCTCGGGGATCGGAGCGATCCCTGTCTTCTCTTTTTCCCTGGGTCCTGCAAGGCGTTCTGCGCGTGTGTCCGTCTCCGTCTGCCCTGCGATGGACTGGCGTCCCATCCAGGGTGTGTGTGTGTGTGTCCATCCTGTGATGGACTGGTGTCCTGTCCAGGGTGTGTGTGTGTGTCCATCCTGTGATGGACTGGTGTCCTGTCCAGGGTGTACCCTGACAATTCCTAATTTTGAGCTCCTAGTTGGGGGCGGGGCGTGAAACACTGACTTGACTACAATCTTTGAATGTTTCACTATCGATGCTTAAAGGGGAGGGGGGCTTTTTAAATTTCGGGGTTCAAAAGAATCGAGACTGATGAGTGCATTTCAAACCCCCCCCCCAGAGAAAGTCAGATGTACCCAGTAACTTGTACAACCCCCAGTTTGCAGCACACAGTAGAAGGTCCGGGTACGTGCAGTACCATGTTCTATCATGCAGAATGAGGTGACAAACCTTCTGGTGAGGTGAAGTGACACTGTGAGCAAGCAGGCTTGTGAACCCGTCTCTTTTAATCCAATCGAAATATTGCTCTGGACTTCCAGACGGTTTTGTGGGCAAATATTTTCGGGTCAACTCTGCCGGCGGATCACATTTCGGCCGTGACAGCGTCTGGTGCACAACCTGCACTTACTTGCTCATACGTGACATTAATCACTACGGTGACTAGTGAGCAGGAAGGGTCATGTCACAATTCTCACGATCTCTCGCTCTTGTGTGTGAAGAGACCAGGGGGGTTGGCGACAACACGACGACTTGTGGTATTTTTTTACAAAGTGATCCTGTGCTTAATTTGTCAATTCTTTCTAATCCATCACCTGATTTTTTTGTTCCTGAAACTGAATAACCGTTGTGAGAGATTTGGACGGTAGTTCCCTTGAAGTGATATACTCCAGTGCTATTCGAAGGCACGGTCTGTGATTCAGTGAGAATCCTTTTTTTCCTATACAATGGCTTCTCATTCTTTTTCTTCGCCGAAGCTCGGTTGGAAAGTGGTGCTGAATTGAGTACAAATGTATCGCCTACAACTACATAATTAAAGAGTACCTATAAGGCAATTAAATGCACATCCTTATCGGCGAAGAGCAATCTTTGACATGAGAAAAGTAACCAATGAGAGCCAGCTTGGCCCACCCCCCCTCATCCAGATCAGTTACCTACCACCTGCTCCTACGAACCAGTTGCTGGAAGGAAGCCAGGAGAATGCAGGGTATTGGCTTCCACACCAGCAGCTGGGCAGCTTGTTCCCCACCCCTGCCACCCTCTGCGTACAGAAGCTCCTCCTGTCCTGACTGGAGGATCTCGTCCAGCTGCGTCTTAAGTGAAGCCAGGGTAGCGTCTTCAACCACAGGGCTGGGCAGCTTGTTCCCCACCCCCGCCACCCTCTGTGTACAGAAGCTCCTCCTGTCCTGACTGGAGGATCTCGTCCAGCTGCGTCTTAAGTGAAGCCAGGGTATCGGCTTCAACCACAGGGCTGGGCAGCTTGTTCTCCACCCCCACCCCCCTCTGTGTACAGTAGAGCCTGCGTATGTTTTTGGGAGCTCCAGGCAGAGGAATCCTACTCTGTTGGGGCCCCCGAGCGAGGCCCTGAACCCCAGCTGCTCCAGGGGCGCTGTATAAATGGCCGACCCTGCGCTTTGACCCCCAGCTTCTCTCTCTCCCTGTCTGTGTGTCTCCTGGAGAGCCAGCTGGGGTCTACGACAAGACCAATTCCTCATGCAAGAAATCGTATCTGGTCAATAAAGTGATCTCTTTATAAACCAATCGGGAAAAAAAATACCATCTATAAGGCTCTTACCAATATAAATGAAATCTTTAAATCCCTACTCGTAGAATAAACAGCAAATATAACCCATTTAAAAGGAGAGGGGGTATAGGAAATTAAACATCCCAGAGAATTATATTTAATGTATTTATGGATACTGTACTATTCATCACAGTACACTGTACAGTTGAATAATTAAACAAAAATATTCAAAGCAAACTGGGTGCTTTCCTGACACGACGAAAGGCGGGTTACTCCCAGTTTCCGGTGCAAAAGCACCAGGTCATGTGCAGAGATAACCACTCACTCGTGAAAGCAGAACTCTGGGTAAGGTTATTGACGTCCAAACGCCCTTTTTTCCCACATCTGGTTTTGTCAGTGCATCAGCGTTCCACGCCTTTGAATGAGGTTTTTTTTTCCTCTCATCTCCCTACCCTGCTTCACACTTTTAAGGCAAACAATAGTTTTTTATTCTGTTATAAAAATACAAAAGTGAAATATCATAATTGGATTGGTCTCCACATACACACACACACCTCCTCCCCCAGCTTAATAATAATTGCTTACACTTA